ACCTGCTCCTCCTTACTTCTTCTCCCCGCGTCCCTGTGCCGATCGTGGATTTGGGCAGGCGGTGAGTGTGAGGCGCGGAGGAAGTGCGGAGCGTGGATGCGGGCAGGTCTGGCAGCGGCGAGCGTGAGGTGGGGAGGAGGTGTGACGCGCAGCGTGTGTGGAGCCGTGAACAGGGCCAACCAATCAGAAGCCGATTACTCGATTATTGAAAAAGTTGACAACTTTTTCAATAATCGATTATAATCGATTATGTCGATTAGTTGTTGCAGCCCTAACTGCCCCGCAGCAGTATGCTTTCCCCTGATTATACTAAATGTATGTCTTATAAATATAAACATCAGATAAGGTACCTTAAAAGGCCAAAAAAAGGCTCATCTATGTGTTGAAGCTAAACTATGTTAAGGCATAAGAAATATAAATAGTCACAGGACTACACTGCTAGGAAGAGCTCCGATATAACTGGTTACTATTACATAATCCCATTGCTTGATCTGGCTTTACACAAAATAAAAAGAGAAGCAAATAAACACAACGTGCTGTTTTTGTTTGGAATCAAATGCCTTTTCCCCGTCTTTTATGTGATTACAGTGAATGGGATACAGTGCTACATGCTCAGGCCTTCATCGGCAGGCTATAAGACCACATAGAGCGTTTGGCCTTTTCGCTCCAGAGAAATGATACGCCTGAACAGTGAAAGCAAAGTGGCAAAGGCAGGATGACACATCCCTAAGGATCATATTACTACAGATTTATCAATTACACACTCACCTATTTCCCTGAAGCAAGGCTCAGGGAAATGACAATTAGCAAAATAAAATAAAAAAATCATGAACATAGATTTCTATACTTCATCAGCACCTGCCTTTCCAACGCTGGAAATGAAAGTACATGAAAGTGGATATTTCATTTTCAGGTGACACTGGAATAATAATAAAAACAAAAAAATATATATTATCCAGGCCACTGATAGTTAAATCACCACCGCCTTTTCATCTTACAGTGATCACAGCCCATGTTCCACCCCCTTGACTGCTGCTTGGGTGGGGTACCACCATCCACACCATGGTATGAATTACAAACAACTGGCACCATATGTACATATCAGTGTACATGCATTCAGCATCACATGGAAGTCGTTTTCCATCACATCTATATTGCTGGGTGATCAGATGTCCGGGAGCAAGCTGGGCTCCTATAGGAAGGATCTGGACCTGGACCTGGATCCTTTAGCATAAACGGGAGGATGTTGGATGAGATGCACAGGATACAGGCCAATCATAAAAGCTCAAGGGCAACATAAAGCAGGCAGGCTCTGTCATCAAATATACCATCTAGCTGTAGAAATGTAAAGCTCTACCCAAAGAAAAGTCTCTTACCTAGCAGGAGCAGTCTGTGTGTCTGCTTGTATTCCCTTTTCTGCTCTTTTAGCACCCGATCTATGCTCTTGCTGACTTTTTTGGCCTCCTTCTCTGCTTCTTTCTCCTCCAAGCGGAGTTTGTCCCATCCCTTCTGCAGTGGATGCTGTTGCTGGTGCGCTGGATGCTGCTGCTGCGACTGCTGGATTTTGCTGGGTTTCTGCTGCTCCTTGCTCTCCCCGGTGCCGCTGCCTCCACCATTCTGTAGCAGCAGCCCATCTGGACTGTCCCCTCTGCCCGATTTGCACAACTCTCCTCGCCGGGGCTGCCCATCCCTGAGCTGGGCATGAGACTGCTGCTGATGCTGTGACCCAGAACCAGCAGATGCCCCCGTCCGATGCAGATCGCCGTGCCGCAGGTCGCCGGCTCGCATAGGCACTGACAGCTCCGGGGGCTGCTCTGCATCCGAGTTGGTGGCAGCGTTGGAGATGGAGCCGCTGGGATCGCCGAACAGCCGCGGCCGGAGGCTGTAACACAGCCCCATGGCTCTGGCAATCTTACACGTGCTGGATGGCTCGGCGATCAATAGCAACAGATCGATCGTTAGATATACGTGAAGACGGGGGGGGAAAAAGATCGGGGGCGTGCAGATTACGCGAAGGACGCACCCCAGATGAAAGGAGAGACGGTATAATAACAGCAAAACGGAGCGGCAGGACGGAGCTTAGCTCTTCATCATCCAGCCGGGAATCCCGGGAGCGAGATCAGCGGACAGAAGTGAGCCTAGGATCCCGACAGACTGCCAGCGTGCCATCTTGCATCTTGTCTGCCGTCGGCTGGTGCGCACACATCCACACACACGCAGGAAGGATCACCTGACACACACAGCGCTCTACTAGTGGACTCAGCAGGCCGGTCCACCGTACCGTAATCTCTGCAGAGCAGGCGCACAAGCCGTTAGTAGAGGGGGCGAGGACGACGGGAGGGCTCAGCTTTTCTGTGGAATACAACAGTTTTTGCCATGCTCTCCATTCTCCATCATCTGTATCCAAATTCTTCTGCTGTCAGAGAGTTATTAGGAACCGAGGAGGACGCTTAACAAGGCACCTCAGACTATATGCCCGATTTTTCATATAAATGTGGAGGAGAAGAGCTTAAAGTGAAACCGTATCCATTTAAAGTAGGGCTGGTAATTCCGGTGACGTCGATGTCCGTGACGTCACCGGAAGCCGGCGGAGATGTGAGTACTTTGATCGATCAAAAAAAAATTTTGATAGATCAAAGAAATTAACGATTAAGCGACGGATTAATCGTTAATTTCCGCACCCCTAATTTAAAGGGTTAGTTCACCTTTTGACAAAAAATGAAAA